AGCTACCTATATAAAAGACTGAAAAACATAGCCACTCCCCAAGCAAGCTGCTGGGGAAGCATTTGGATCGAGACTGCCTGCGTGTAACTGGTGAGTGAAAAGGCAAAATGTTAGTGCACTATCAGGCTCCAGAACCTCTCTTTCTGGGGGGCATTTCCGCTAAAGGCTAAAGGCACTGGGGCAAAGCCTGGGGTCACTGACATTCCAGCTACTCTCAATGGAATAGCACTTTTTGGGCCCCAGAAACCTAGTTCCCAGTATGCTGGGTCTCCGGGTGTTTGAGGAAGGGCTGGGGTTGTGTTTTAAAGCGGGACATGCTAATACGGTGACTGGATTTCCTCGGACACTTAGTAGATGAAATATTGTTGCAATGCCTCCTCCCAGCCCACATCCACACAAATACAAAATGCAAAGAAGATGCCTGAGAAGCAGTCAGGGCCAGAAGTTGGAGGAAGCTGGGATTCTTCGGCTTCCCCCCTCTTCGCTCTGGGATTCCTTCAGCACTTCACGGAGCAATCTGCAAAGAGTTTGCTGAGGTTCACTTCTGAGTAGCCGCTTCGGGACAAGAATAGCTCTACTGTGTTCTTGAGTTTTTTGTAGTCCTGACAAACTTTGGGGAGAAAAAACTGCTTCTTCAATTTATCTAAAAAGAGAATAAAAATAGAGAATTAGAACTGAGAGAGAGAGAGAGAGAGAGAACGAACTTCTTTAAAGACCACTCAGTCTTCCTCATCCATTAGAGAAGGAGGTGCAGGCTCCTTTGCAGCTCCGTGTCTCAGTTGTCCTCGAGGTCCTATTTCTGGTCTGTCTCCGATGCAAGGGCCTGGAGACTCCTCTGTGAAAGGCTAACAGCTGACTCGGCACATGGGGGGCACATGGAGGGCACATGGGGACCAGCCACCTTCCACTGATGGAAACTGCAGGTGCATGCCCGTGTGCAGCAGAGAAGGTGAGCTCTTCGCAGAAGCCACTTTCACAGCGCCGCCGAGCACACTCATGCAACTGCATGCAACATCTGGCTGTGGCAGGAAATGCCCTGTCTCAAAGGAAGCGGTGGGCCCTGTGCCTGCTAGCCCAAACTCCCCAGGTGAGCTCGGTCTGCCTTGGTTTCTCCTTAGTCCCTTGTGTCTGAGTCCCTTCGAAAACAAAACCACCTTTGCTGAAAGAGGCTGGGGAAAGCTGCCTGGAGAGCACCTGTCCATTGCTGATTCCTTTTCCTCCTCTTTGTCCACACTGTGACCCCTGCAGCACCATGCCTCTGCTTCCTGGCTCTTTCACTCATTCATCCCTGGCCTTGCCTTTCTGGGGAGGGCGCTACAGCCAGAGAAAAGATCCTTCCTTTCAAAGAGTCTGCTACTTCAGGCTACAATGGACAGGTCCGATCTTTTGGGGAAGAAGGTGATCCCTGGGGAAGCCAACCCTGCTCAGGGTGGGTAAGGTGGGGATAAGGTGACACCATCTTTGTTCAAGCTGCTCCTGTGCGATGTTTGGCGAAACTGACATTTTTTAAAATCCCCATTTTACAGCAGAGGAAACTAGAAGGCTAAGTCACCTGCCCAATGCCAGAGTACTAAGGGTGTAGACATGCCAACCCACATGCTGGAAGAGGTCCACTTTGGCACCACCCCCTACTGTGTCACTGCTCCGAGACAGAGAGAGGAGGCCCCAGAAATCTGCAGTGCCTAAGGTGGATGGCCTGTTCCAAGGTGCCTGAGGCTGGGGGTTGGGGAATGAGGATGCCCAGCATGGCAGAGTAGGAAAGTATCCCCGGACAGACGCACAGAAGGGAGAGCATGCAGCCACAGGAAGCAAGAGTCCACTGAAACAACCGAGCGACACTGGGGTCAGTTCTCAAGATATCCAGAAAATGAAAGCTCAGTCTCAAGAGTTTTGTTCCTTAGCTACATGGCTGCATCTGTTCTCCACAACTGTTTCCAATGACATCAACTGCCTTTTGGAAAAAACAACAGCAAAGTTTTGTAGAGGATTTAAATGTCTAAAGGGGTTGGAGAAAAGAGGCCAAAAGAAACGGGGGACGGACGGGCATCATTAACTGACTATAGAAAGACAATTGAAAAGTTCTAATTATCTGAGTCCGGGAATACACAACAATGGCCCCAACCAGGGTGGACTGCCTCACGGCAGGCCAGAGCCACAGGCTGGCAACCCCGTGCATGTGAATGACACAAATGCATCTGATGACTGGGGAGAGCACATTTAAAGAGCTGCGGTAACACGGAGCAGGGGAGGAAGAGAGAGGACACAGCTCCTGATGTGTTTACCTCCTCTGCTGATGGGATATTGACTTTTCCCACCAGGTTGGTTAGAAAGGGGACTATTTACGCTGCCACACAGCAGAGTTAGAATGACAACCAGCGTCACTCTGTGCTCTTCTTCGTAAAAGACAACTGTGACCACCAGCATATCCCATAGCCGGTCAATACGGCCAAGGCACCATTCCACGCCAGTTAGAGATGCAGATAAAAGCTCCCACTTGCTTCCCCAATGAGAATTTAATCAATAGCGCATGGAAGGTCTTCTAGGAAACAACAGGATGAGCTGTCACAGGCTGCATCAGGGCGGGGGCGAGGGCTGGAGGGGAAGGAGCCATCCCTTTGGAGTTTTTCTCTTCCCCTTTAGGCACCCGGGCCACCCACATTAGGCCTCATGTTAAACCGTTACCTTATTTTCAGTCAATCTTACACCTGCCACTTTAGAACTCAAGGGAAAATACAGGAGTTAAATGGGGGATGCCAGTTAAAGTGGCCAGTAAAACCCCGGTCCCTTCCCTGCTTCCAAACTCTGGGAGTCACATACTGGTGACTCAGACGCCTTAGCCACTGGAGCTGCAAGTCAGGCATCTGAGGACGATTGTTTTGAGAATCCCAACAGGCCACCAGGCAAGAGGCAGAGAAGGTAGCAGCCACGCCATCCCAGTCCACAGAGATGCCACTGGCCATTGTTGCCACCTCTTAGCCAATAGCACGGCAGATCCAAACTTCACCAAGGAAAGGAAGGAAATGCCCATCTTAATATACCAGCAAAGCTGATCTCCTTCCTTCCATCTGAGAATAACATCTGGGGAATATGTGTCTAAAGCTTATTTACGCTGGTCCTTTCTACACGCTCTGATATCACTCTGTCCCTAGCTCCCCGAAAACAACGGGAAAATGAGCCGATATATTAACTGTTCACAATTTTTTTTTTTTTTGAAATTTGCTAAAGGGTGTGTGTGCTTGCTAGGGAAAAAGAGAGAAAGAGGGAAGGAGAGAAAGAGAGTGAGAAAGCACCCCTCACCAGAGATGGTCATATAATAACCCTTTCTCTATTTCTGTCTGGGATTTGGGGCACACATGCACATGCGCCTGGAGTTTTTTTCATGTCACTGGGTCTGGGACTTGAACTGTGCAGTCAGCCATGTGAGATCCAGCTGCCTTAACCACCACACCATTGGCTGACCCCACAAAATATTTATATCACACAACTAAATGAATCACTAATTTTTTTGAGAGATTTTTGCTGCAAGGTCGTGCACATGCTAGAGAGACAGAGACAGAGAGACAAAAAGTGAGAAATCACCCCCTGGGGGGATGGCCATGCCACAGTCCCTTCTCCATTCTCCTCTCAGGATCTTGGGCATACATACACACACGTCTGGCATTAGTTTTAAGTTGCTGGGTCTGGGATTCGAACCACAGTCAACTACGTGGGAGTCCAGCAATGTAACCATTACACCATGGTTGTTTTAAATATCTTATTTAAAAGTTAACCAATCAAACAACAAGCTAACATTATTTGAAAAAAAGAAGTGAGTATTCACCTAAGGAAACTCTACTTCACATATTTTAGTTCCATGTCAGTAAGTCGAAAATCTCTTTTCAATTTTACTTTTTATCACACACTTTGTGGACTTAAAGAAACACACTGAACTAGAAACCACAAGGCAAAGACATTTTAACATCGCCTACTGGTTATTTTATTTTAATTAAGGCAGGCTTAGGCACACAGGCAGCAGCCGTCTCTGTTCTGAACGTCTGTTTCATTTATTTCCGTGCAAAGGTATCAAACAACAGTCAGTTATAATTGATTCTGTCAGGTGTTATACAGTCAGTCATAATTGTCTCTGTGTAGAGGTGTGTCAATTTACTATATCTGAATTAAATATTCTGTCAATTATGAAATCAGGTAATAATTTCAGTCAGTTTTTTAATTGCATGGCTTCCCACCATACAGTTCTCAGCCCTCCCACCTTTTCTAATCCATAGCCTCCCTCCCTCAATACAACGTGAGCTTTGCCGTGAGAGGTGGAATGCAGGCAGCACTAGGGACTTTGAAAGAAAACTGTACCTCTCTATTCTACTGTTTAGAGCCACCCAACCTGTAGAGAGCCACTGGGCTTCTGGCCTCACTGCCCTCTCCCTGACTGTCAACCCCGAACAGACTCTCAGCCATCCACGGCACCTGAAAGCTCTCAAGGGACAGCCACGAAGACAAAGACATTCAGGGCCACAAATCAAATGACAAGTATATCAACATTTCTCAATTGAAATAAGAAATTAAAGAAAAAAAAGTCATCTTTGAGCCAATTCGTCTTTCAGGGAAAAAAAAAAAAATCACCAGGCACAGAGCCAGGCACACAAAGCATGCAACGCGATCGTCACTGAGTCAACGCCTAGAGGGCCGTGCTCACCCGTTCGGTCACATCTCAGGCACTAAACTATTTCGGAGGGCTGAAGAGTCTTCTCTGGTAGTCCACTATCCAGTTTCACTCCTACTTAGAAATAATTATCTTCAGTTTTTTGTTCTCCTTTTTTGTTGATACCAAAATACAGCCTTCCAACAGAATAAAATATCCATGGTTTAGCTCAAGTGCTCTACTAGGCTGATGTGACAAGTATTTAGAAGTGTGATGATAATTCGCCCCACCATTGGTCTAGTTCATGTTCAGGAAATGCAGGCTTGCTGCAGCCTGATGGTGGTGAACGGTGACCCCGCAGACTCAAAGCAAATGGAGGTGCTGCGGGGCCCAACTACTAGGAAGGGCTGGTCAGTGGGAGTTGGGACAAGAGCAGAGGGTGATGCGAGGAGACGGGGTGAGGTGAAGTGGTGAAGTAAAGAATGCCACATCGACAGTGAAAAATAGAAGGTGAGAGTCATGCCCCTTACCAGGTTTCAGTAGAGAAAGAGTCACCTTGAAAGAGATCAAAAATTTCCTTTCAACTGGATGAAGTGATTCTATCAGGGTTGGGTTTTGGGTGTTTGTATTTGTCATGTCGGAAGAAAATTGCCCATGCAGCCCCCTTGCTGAGGTTATAAAAAGTACTGTCAACCATACTGGACAGAATTTTTTTTTTGGGGGGGGGGTTACAGAGAGGGAAAAAAACACATTGTGCAGGATCATTAAGCACTGTTGTATAAATAAAGTTAGAAGATCAAACGAAAGAGGGGACTCGGGTTAAATGCTGGAAGACAAGCTTAAATAAAGTTCTAAGAAAAAAGCAAGGCACGCTGTAATTCCAAGAACCTATTACTTCAGACAATTTACTTCAAAAAATAAAATCAGAATGGTAAATGATTACCCAAAAGCAATCATGTCATCATCACTGAGAGATGGAATAAAATAATTTTTTGTGAAGTGGCTGA